GAGGGCAGGCCCGCGACCAAACCGCGGCCGCGGCCGCGTCGACGGCCGCGTCGCGGAGCGCGTCGCCGAGGTCCAGCGCGACGACGCGCAGCGCGAGCGCGTCGCGCGCGGTGTCGTCGGTCGGCGCGTCCGCGTTCTTGAGCCCCGGCCAGGCGCCCGCGGGGAGGAGGTCCTCCTTCCAGCCGAGCGCGCTCGCCGCGGCGCCGACGGCGAGGAGCGCGCGCTTCTGCTCGAGGACCGCGACCTTGCGCACGAAGAGCGGGCCCGGGTGCACGGTCTCCAAGTTCGACGCCAGGCCGCCGCCCTCGCGGCGCCCCGTCGCGCCCGCGCGGCCGAGCTCGACGGCGTCGAGGCGGACGCGCGCGCCGCGGAGCGCGTCGCCGCCGGCTTTCGAGACGAAGACGACGGGGCAGCCGACGGGCCGGGACCCGTCGCCGCGCGCCATGCGGATCAAGCCGTCGCCGTCCTCGTCGTTGGCGATGATGCAGAGCCCCGCGCCGGCCTCGGACGCGCGCGCGGCCTTGTCCTCGAAGCTGATGCCGCCGCCGCGGCGGACGAGTAGCGCGGCGCCGCCGACGTCGTCGTTCTCGAAGTCGCCGCCCGTGTCCGGGTCCGCCGTCGCCACCGCGAGCTCCGCCCCGGCCGCGAACGACGCCTCGAGGTCCGGCGCCCAGGCCGCGCGCGTGCACCGCACGGGCGTCGCCTCGCCGCCTCGGACCGCGGCGAGCCGCAGGAACGCGGGCGCCCGGCCGAGGCGGTCGAGCTCCGCGGCGCGGTCCTCGAAGACGACGCGCGCGAGGTGCCGCGCCTACCAAGCACGTCGGTGACAATATTTCGTCGTTTCCCCAGCTAAAAGCTCTCGAAAATCGTCACCGCCGCAGGACGCTGTGCCGCGCGCAGGCGCAGAGGCGCGCGAGGTCCCGGGCCGCCAGATGCGCGAAGAGCGTCCGCCGCTCCCGCGCGGGCCAGCTCTCGAGCCTGCGGCTTTCGCGGGCCACGTACGGCGGCGGCTCGAAGGCCGGGACGACGAAGAGGCCCGCGTCCTCGTCGACGGCCTCCGCGTCGCCCGCGTCGTCCGCGGCGGCGGGCGCGGCCCGGTCGTACCAGTGGCCCGCGCTCGCCTCCACGAAGCCGTCCTCGTAGCGGCCGTACCGGCCGTCGTCGTCGTCCGACGACGACGACGACGACGGCGACCCGGGCTCCGGCGCCAGGGGCGAGACGTCCAGGAAGTCGACGTCGGGCCGCGCGACGAGGATCGGCCGCCCGCGCGACGTCGTCACCGACGCCCAGCCCTCGACGGGCCTCACGACGCGGCAGCGCTGGCGGCCCCGGAGCGCGCGCAGCTCCGCGACGACCTCCGCGACGACCCGGGCGCGAGCTCCGCGACGACCTCCGAGTCGAAGTCGGCGCCCCGGCGGATCAGGATGGGCTGCGACCGTCTGGCGTTGATCTCGAAGACGAGCCAGGTCTCGCCTTCCGGCGGCCGAGGCGCCGCATCGCTCCGGAGGCCTCGGCGGCGGCGGCGGCGGCGCAGCCAGTAGGCCGCCGCCGCCGCGACCGACGCGGCCAAGGCCGCGGCGCCACCGCGGCGCAGGACGTTGCGCATCACTCCGCGGCGCAGGACGTGCGCATCAGTCCACCATCGTGATTTCTTCTGGGGGTGCAAGGTGCACAGTGATTTAATCGTTATTGAATTTTTATGCTCGCTATGGCGCTAGCGGCTGCCCTTGAGATGCGTTAAGAGATGCGCGGACCGATGCGCGGCCTCGCGCTGCTGCTCGCGGTCCGCGCCGCAGCGGCGGCCGGTGCGGGCGGCGGCGCGCTCGTGCTCGTGACCGTCGACGACGCCATCCTGCCGCTGCGCCTGTCCCTCGACCGCGTGGAGGCCGACGCGGCGAGCGCCGTGACCAAATTCGGCCTGGACGCGCGCGGCGTGGGCGCCTGCGCGACGGGCGACGCCGCGTGCGTCGCCGCGGCGCTCGTCCGCGAGGCGCGGACGCCCGCGCGCGCGGTGGCGTGCTCCCTCGACGCGCGCGGTACCGTCGCGGCCGACCGGCGCCGCGTCGACGTCGCGCTGGCCGTGGCGCGCGCCGGCGGCGCCAACGCGTCGGCGCCGTGGGCCGGCCGGCTCTTCGTCGACTACGGCGTCGGCGGCGACGCCTTCGCGGGCTGGGTCGACGTCTCGGCGGCGGAAGGCGGCGTCGTGAGCCTCTGGCTCCCCGGCCGCGGCGCGCGGGACCCGGGCGCGCTCGCCGCGACCTTCGCGGGCGTCGCCGACTGCGACGGCGCCACGTGGCTCCACGCGGCCCTCGCGCTCGACCTGCCCGGCGACGCCGACGGCGCGCCGCCGGGCGACGCGCGCGAGGTCGTCGGACAAAACATGCACGGCGCGGTCGTCGTCGCGCGGCACCCGAACCTGGAAGGCGGCCGGGACACGCCCGTGCGCCTGCGGCTGCCGGCGACGCGCGGCGACGTGTACCGCGAGGCGCTCGCGGCCGTGGACCGCTTCGGCCTGGCGTCGGTCGCGGCCGGCGGCTGCGCGGCGGCCGACCGCGCGTGCTTCGCGCGGCGGCTCCTCGCGGAGGCGGAGCGGCCCATCGAGGCGCCGCGGTGCCGCCTCCATTTCGACCGGCCGCGCGACGGCGAGGTCCTCGTGCTGGGCCACATCGACATGGAGCTGAGCGTCGAGGTCGAGGCCGACGGCGCCTGGTCGCGCGCGGGCCGCTTCGCGGGGCGGCTCTTCCTCGACGCGTGGCCCAGCGACCCGGGCACGGCGCTCTTCACCATGCCCCCGCTCCGCCAGTGGCTCGACCTCGAGCCGGAGCACGAGTCCTACTTCTCCGTCAAGCTCGCGCCGCCGCGGCGGAGGCCCGGCGGCGGCGGCACGACCGCGCCGCGCGTCTCGGGGACCGTGGACGTCAACGTCGTCGCCTACGGCAGCGTCGCGGGCTTCTGCGAGCCGACGTACCTCCACGGGACGACGCGCGTCACCTACCGGCCCTTCCACGAGCCCTCGCCGCCCGCGCCCGTCCTCGACCGCGCGGCGCTCGCCGCGCGGCCGGACCCGCGCGCGGAGCTCGGGCTGACCTGCGCCTACGCGACGATCCTCTACGACACGTCCGAGGACACGGGCTACGCCCACGGCCTGCTGGCGCTGCGGCGGTCGCTCGTCGAGGCCGGCGCGGCCGACCCGCTCTACGCGCTTCTCGGGGACGGCGTCGACGCGCGGACGCGCGCCGCGCTGCGGGCGACGGGCGTGCGCCCGGTGAACGTCTCGCGCGCGGCGCCGGGCGAGGAGTCGTCGGCGCTCCCGGCGCTCGGCCTGGGCCAGTGGGCGAAGCTCCAGCTCTGGAAGCTGCCCGCGGACCGCGTGTTGTACTTGGACGCGGACGTCGTCGTCCTGCGCAACATCGACGAGCTCTTCGCCGCGCTCGAACGGCGCGGCGGGCCGCCGGCGCCTTTGGCCGCCGTCGACGACTACTTCTCCGGGGGCGTGCTCTTCCTCGCGCCGAACGCCGCCGAAGAGACGGCGTTCGCGGACACGCTGGCGCTGGACTCCGGGCGCTACGTCTACGGCGAGCAGGACTTTTTGAACGTCCACTTCGGCGGCGCGCACGCGCGACTCGGCTCGGAGTACAAGTGCCTCGCCAAGGACGTCCCGGAGAATCGCAGCGCGCTCGCGTCGATCTGCGCGGTCCTGGAGTTCTCGAGCTGTCCGACGCGGTGGGGCGGCGCCTGGAAGCCCTGGCACGGCATGGCCATGCTCGCGGACCCGGACTTCAAAATATGCACCTTCCGGCCCACCGGCGACTTCGAGAACCTCGTCGACGTCTGGCGGGGCTTCCACGAACGAGCGCTCGCGGACCTCGCGGCCCGCGGGCTCCCGCCCCTGCCGGACCCGGAGCCCTACTCCCACGCGGCGTAGCACTTGCCTTAGAGGAACGACCCGATGGCGATCTCGAGTTCGGGAAGGGCGACGCCGAGCTTCTTGCGGAGAAGTGTTCGCAGCGTCCACAGCGTCTGCAGCAGCCGCGCGGCTTTTTCTCTCATGGCGTGGCTGGCGCCGTTATAGAAAACAGCGTCCTTCACCATCACCGTGCCCTCCCGCGCGAGCTGGGCAAGCGCCTCCATGCCGAGCGCCGCCGTGATTGCGACATAGACATCTTCCGCTTCCGAGCTGATAGCGGTCAGTTGTTCCGATTCGTCTACAGACGCGGCGATCGTGTGCAGTACGACCACCGCTAATGCGCTCGCGCTGCGATTCATACCGTTGGCAAGTTCGACCAAGGGGGTCACACTCTGGGCGAGCTTGACAAGTGGCTGTATATGCCTTCGCTTTTCGTGACCCCATTGTACGATGCGCGTCAGCGCGTACGCGGCTCTCGTTTTGGCCTCGGCGCTGCCGGTGTCGGCGAGCGTGACGAGCGCTGGAATTGTGGTGGCCAAGGCGACGGCGACGCTCATAGGAAGAGGTCTGCGCATTTCCGCGAGGCCCATCAGCGCCCAGACAGCTTTCATTTTGGCAGCCTCACTTCCATTCTCAACGAGCTCGATGAGCGGCGGGATGGCGCCTCCCGCCACGATCGCTTCGCAATAATAGGAGCTGTTGAAAAACATCATCGCCATTGCCTGCTTCTCCTCATCATCGCCGTCTCGCAAGAGGCGCACTCCTGCAGCCACATTTGCTTCCAGGCCGTCTCCCATGCCGAAGGACGACAAAAAAAGTTCAGGGAACGACATTGAGGTTTCGCTGGTACGCTTATGGGAGCTAGGCAGCCTCCGCTGAGCAAGTATGCGGCCGCTCTGGCTGCTCCTCGCCTCGCTCGCGGCCGCCTACGAGTTCCTGGCGGACTGCGGCGCGGGCGGCGACTGCGGCGACGCTGCCTGCTTCCTCGACCTGACGGCCGTCCAGCTGACGACGCGCTACCTCGAAGTGTCGCTCGAGTTCGTGCGCGTCGCCGACGGCGCGCGCGAGCCGTTCCGCGGCAGCGGGAGCCTCGGGCTGTGGGCCGTGGCCGCGGACGACGGGTCCGAGTGGCAGCCGCCCTACCGGCAGGACGAGGTCCGGGGCGCGGGCACGCTGAGGCTCTGGGTCGACGGGCTCCCGGACCTCGGGGGAACGCTCCACGCCAACTTCGGCGGCCTCAGCGAGCGCTTCTGCAACGGCTCCTGGTTCTACGCGCACGCCGCCGTCGACGTGACGAAGGCGACCTTCGCGGACGACGTGGCCGTCGCCGAGGACGCGACGCCGGTCGGGACGCGCGTCGGCCGGCAGCGCGGCGGCCTCGTGCTCGTCGACGGCGTCGGCGAGGAGCCCAACGGCCTGCCCATCCGCCTGTCCCTGCCCGCGACGCGGAGCGCGCTCGTCCGCGAGGCGCTCGCGGCCGTCGAGCGCCACCGGCTCTGGGCGCGGCCCCTCGGGGACTGCGGCGCGGGCGACCGGCTCTGCGTCGCGGAGCGCCTCGCGGACGAGGTCGTGCGGCCCGTGCCCGAGCCGCGGTGCCGCCTGCGCTTCGACCGGCCGCGCGACGGCGAGGTCGAGAGCCTGTCGCAGCTCGACGCGGAGCTATCCGTGGAGCGCTACGACGACGGCTCCGGCGGCTGGGTCCGCCTCGGCCGCTTCGCGGGCGAGCTCTTCGTCGACGCCTGGGCGAGCGACGCCGGCACGGCCCTGGGCACCTGGGCGCCCATGAGCGCCTGGATCGACGTGCCGCCGGAGGACGAGGGGAACTTCTTCTTCCACCTCGTCCCGCCGGCGAGGCGGCCCGGCGGCGGCGGGTCGTCGCGGCGCGGCGCGCGCGGCGAGGTCACGGTCAACGCGGCGCTGCGGGGCCGCATCGAGGGCTGCGGCGAGCCGGGCTGGCTCCACGCGACGACGCGGTCCGTGTACCGGCCCTTCCACGAGCCGGACCCGCCCGCGCCCGTCCTCGACCGCGCGGCGCTCGCGGCGCGGCCGGACGCGCGCGCGGCGCTCGGGCTGACCTGCGCCTACGCGTCGATCCTCTACGACACGTCCGAGGACACGGGCTACGCCCACGGCCTGCTGGCGCTGCGGCGGTCCCTCGTCGAGGCCGGCGCGGCCGACCCGCTCTACGCGCTCCTCGGCGACGGCGTCGACGCGCGGACGCGCGGCGCGCTGTCGACCGCGGGGCTCCTGCTCGTCGACGCGGGCGGCGCGGCGGCGCCGGGCGAGCCCGCGGCGGCGCTGCCCATGCTGGGCGTGGGGCAATGGGCGAAGCTCCAGCTCTGGAAGCTGCCCGCGGACCGCGTGTTGTACCTGGACGCGGACGTCGTCGTCCTGCGCAACGTCGACGAGCTCTTCGCCGCGCTCGAACGGCGCGGCGGGCCGCCGGCGCCGCTGGCCGCCGTCGACGACTACTTCTCCGGGGGCGTGCTCTTCCTGGCGCCGAACGCGGCCGAAGAGCGCGCGTTCGCGGCGACGCTGGCGCAGGACTCCGGGCGCTACGTCTACGGCGAGCAGGATTTCCTCAACGTCCACTTCGGCGGCGCGCACGCGCGCCTCGACGCGCAGTACAAGTGCCTCACGGAGAGCGTGCTCAAGGGCGAGCGCGACGCGGCGACGTGCGCGGTGCTCGAGTTCAGCAGCTGCCCGGGCATGGACGGCATGATGGCCTGGAAGCCCTGGCACGGCACGGCCATGTTCGACGCGGCGTTCGAAGTCTGCGGGCGGCGGATCAACGGCGACCTCGCGGCGCTCGCGGCGCGTTGGCGCGGCTTCCACCGCCGCGCGCTCGCGGACCTCGCGGCCCGCGGCGCGTCGCTCGCCCCGGCGCCGGCCTACGGCCGCTACCCGAGCCACCGCGTCGCCAAGTACCGGGACGAGTGGTATGGGAGAGCGAATTCCACGTTCCCCTACGAAGACTTGTTAACTTCAAGATGAAGTAAATTGTATCCAAACGAAGATTGTAACTGTGTGGCTGGCCTCTCGCGCGCCGCCGGGGAAAAAACCACGGCCTGCCGTGCCGTGTGCTGCGTCGAACCACACCTGGAAGTCGTGACGCGTCCCTGCGCGCGTCGTCGTCGTCGCGCGGGCCATGGCGTGCCAGCCGCCCTGCGCCGTGAAGAACTGCGACCCGGCGCTCGTGGCCATGTTTCGCTTTAACGTGTCCGGCGCCCTGAAGAAGCTCGACCCCATCTCCGCCGCGGAGCTCGACGCCGTCAAGTTCGACGTGAGCAAGCTCTCGACGTACGGGTCGCCGCTCATGAGCGACGAGCACGGCAACGTGCCCTACATGGACATCGTCAACGCGCTCGTCGCGCTCATGGAGAGCAACGAGTCGGAGAAGGCCGCGGCCTTCTTCGGCGACGCCATGAAGCTGTCGCTGATCCTCACGAACTACCGCAAGGACGGCCGCATCGAGGAGCTCGAGGACGCGCTGGGCTCCAAGGAGCTCGCGCTCAAGGACGCGCTCGACGCGCTGGCCCTGTCGAGCCGCGACGACCTCGAGGCGGCGCTCAAGGAGCTCGAGAAGTACCCGCCCATGGTCAAGGACCTGGAGGCGCTGGTCGAGTCGATGAAGCAGGAGATCGCGACGAAGGACCAGCGCATCCTGGACATGAAGGAGCAGGTCGCGAACGTCCACAAGATCACCGTCGCCAAGGAGCGCGCCGAGAAGCAGGTCGTCCAGCTCACGACGAAGCTCGAGGCCGTCACGGAGCTCCTCGCGGCCAAGGCCGCGGAGCTCGAGCGCTCCGAGGCGCTCCGCCACGACGCGATCGCCAAGCTCGCGCGGCAGGCGACGGACGAGGTCAAGCCCGGCTGGGAGTTCTCCTTCTGCTCCGCGAGGGAGGAGCCCGCGCCGCCGGCGCAGCCCTACGACCTCAACGAGGTCCCCACGAACTGACCGGGCTCTAAGCGACGGCCGCGTTCGTCGGAGGAGGGGGCCTCCGCGGCCGCGGCGGCGGAGCGCGCTCGCCGTCGCGAAGTCGCGGTGGCGGCACGCCGCCGCGTCGTTGGCGTCGTCGCGCGGGTCCCCGTGGTCGCGGAGGTACTGGGCCTGCTGCGTGTTGGGCGTGAAGTGGCCCTTGAAGTCCGCGCCGTTTCTCGCGTCCAGCGCCGAGTAGCAGCAGACGCCGCGCTTGATCTCCATGCCCTGCTCCGTGCTGAAGTCGCGGCGCGCGACCGCGAAGCGCTCGCGCCAGAGGCTCGTGTTGAAGAGCGATCTATGAAGCACGCCGAACGATGTTTCGTCGTTTTCCCACCCGACATCTCTCGAAAACCGTCGCGGCCGCGGGACGCCGAGCGCGACTCCTCGACGGCGTCGAGGTCGTAGATGCCGCAGCGCGCGGCGTCGAGCGCGTCGGACGGCCGCGGGTCCGGCAGGCCGTGGAGGACCATGCGGCGCGGCTTCGACGCCTGCGGGCCGCAGCACTTGCGGAGGATGGACCAGTAGGTCAGGTACTCGTGGATCCGCAGGACCTGCGCCTCCGTCACGGCCGGGAAGCGGACCGCGTGGTCGCGGATCGTCGCCACGAGGCTCGCCTCGAGGAACGTCGGGTAGGCCAGCTGCGTCAGCACGACGGCGCGGGCCGGCAGCGCGTGGCGGAGCTCGGCCGCGGGCGTCGCCGTGCGGCCCGTGAGGAACACGCCCGCGGCGGACGCGGACGCGGCCGCGTCGACCTCGTGCGACTTGACGACGAGCGTCTGCGCGGTCCGCGCGAGGCCGTCGAGCACGGCCGCGTCGACGTGGCCGCGGAAGATGCAGTTGACGGCGCCCGTGTAGGCGTCGGAGCCCAGGCCGCGGTTCACATGAGCGAGGAGGCAAACCAACATGAACTGGAACGTCGACGCCGTGCGCGTCGGCCCGTGCGTGAGCAAGAGGTCGAAGTCCGACGCGTTGACGGGTGGCTCGGCGTTCGTCGCCATGAGCAGCCCAAAACCATGCTCGACGACGTTCGACGAAGGGTTTTCAGATTCGCAATCGCGCGGCGAGGTGCTTTGCTTGCTTCCTCAATATCAACCTCTTGCGCTACTTGCACCACGATGGAGCGAAATAATTTGGCACCCCTCGGTGCCCACGCCGCCGGCTGCTAGGTGCCGTCGCGCGCCCGCGCGCGCAGCGTCCCACTGCTCGGTGCGCCGTCGCACGCCCGCGCACGCGACCCGACGCCGTTCGGGGCAGCCCGCGCCATGGCGACGGCGGCGCTCGTGCGCGTCGTGGCCTGGAGCGGCGCGTGCCTGCTGGCGACGCAGGGGTCGGCGCGCGGGAACGTGCGCGTGCCCTACAGCGAGCGGAAGCGGGCCCACGCGGCGGCGGCGCGCGGCGAGGGCCGCGCGCGCGAGGAGTTCCGGCGGCGGGAGCGCGCGTCGCGGTACCCCGCGTACAACGCGAGCGCGGGCCCCTACGACTGGGCCGCGGCGATGGCGCGCCTCGACGCGCACCGCGACTTCGACGTGGCCCGCTACGACCCGGCCGCGGCGAGCGCGCGGCTCGCGGTCCAGCGCGCGCTCCGCGACAAGCTCCACACGGTCTGGGTCTTCAAGGGCCGCGTCCTCGTGCACAAGAGCTACCTCGGCGAGATGAAGCGCGAGCTCCACCTGCGGTTCCTCAAGTCCGTGCTCGCGGGGCTGGGGTCCGCGAAGCGCGACGTCGGGAACACGGTCTACTCCTTCGACGAGGGCGCGTCGGGCCCGAGCAGCTGCGACGACCACCTGCCCGCGCTCGCGATCGCGAAGAAGCGGGGCGACGGCCAGTGCGGCGTCCTCGTGCCGAACCCCTACTTCGGCGACGTCTACAAGACCTGGGCGCCGGAGTTCAAGGGCCTCCTCTTCCAGGGGAAGCGGCGCGACTGGGGTTCCCGGAACCCGCGCCTCTTCTGGCGGGGCAAGATCCGGGGCCACGACGCGGTCATGGACGAGCTCCGGGACTGCGAGCGCGACGCGGGCAACTTCGCGCGGCTCCAGGCCTGCAGCCTCACGTCCCTGGACCGGACCCTCTTCGACGTGCGGAGCACGTCGTGCGAGCCGCGCGTCGTCCGGAGCCACACGCGGGACGTCTGCGGCGACGTCTTCGTGCAGACGCCGCGCCTGCGGGAGATCAAGGGCGGCCACTGCCGCCCCATCCGCGGCGACTTCGTGAACCACGGCAAGTTCAACACGTACCAATTCCTCCTCGACCTGCCGGGGTCGACGACGGGCTCCTACTCGCGGAACCTGAACCACCTCTGGCTCCTCGGCGCCGTCGTCGTCTTCTGGCGCGGCCCGTTGCTCGAGGCCGACGGCGCCCTCCAGTGGTACACGCCGGCCCTCGCCGACGGCGCGACGCACGTCGCCGTCGACGTCGACACGGCGAAGCCGACCTTAGAGGCGATCAAGCGGACGCCCGCGTGGCGCGACGCGCTCCTCGACAACGCGCGGGGCGTCGCGACGCACGTGCTCTGCGCCGACTGCCTCGCGTCCTACTTCGTCGGCGCGCTCACGCGGCTGAAGGCGCGGCTGCCGCGGCTCGACCGCGCGCTGAACCCGGCGGCGTACGCGCGCGCGGACCGCAAGGCGGGCAACGCGACGAGCGCGCCGTCCCTGGCGTCCCTGCTCCGCGAGGAGCACTGCGACCGCTACCTCAACCTCGTCGAGGTCGTCTCGGGCAAGCCGCGGCGCGCGCGCGGCCGCGGCGCGGGCGGGCCGGGCTGGTCCGTGACGACGCGGCCCTTCGCGGCCGGGGCCGACGCGTGCAAGAAGCTCGCGGCGCTCGCCGAGAGTTCCTAGTATGTTTTAGAGCGCCGGCTTCCGGGCGACGAGGACCTGGTGGTAGGGGCAGTACGACGGCGGCTCCGGGGGCTGGAGCCAGAGCGACAGGATCTCGTAGCCCAGGCAGCCCGCGACGGCCTCCTCCATGAGGTCCCAGTCCCAGATGTGCCAGTGGAGCACGTTCTCCCGCGCGGCGCCGCGCTCGTCGGTCGTCTCGCGCCGGATGATCGCGCGCCGCGCGTCCGTGTCGGCCGTGACGTTCAGGCCCCAGGGGTCGAAGTCGCGGTCGATGTCGTCGAAGGTGCGGACGAAGAGCTCGTGGTAGTGGCGCCGCAACGGGTCCAGGCCGCCGCGCGCCGCGGCCGCGCGGATCGCGAGCAGCTCCTGCATGGACGCGGGCGTCCGGTGCTTGTCCGTGCAGTTGAACGCCTGGGGCAGCACGAGCACGAGCAGCCCCTCGGGCCGCAGCACCCGGTCCCACTCCCGCAGGGCCTCGAGGGGGTCGAGGAAGTGCTCGAGGTTGTGGCTCGAGAGCAAAGCGTCGTACGCCGCGTCCGCGATGCCGTGGAGGCGCGCGCCGTGGCGGAGGAAGGTCCGGCCGATGGGCGACCCTTCGGGCGCGTAGGGCGCGCCGTCGACGGCGTCGGCGTCGCTCCGCGGCGCCTGCGCGGACGTGGAAAACGCCGCGAAATACTCGTAGAGCGGCCGCTCGACGACGTTGTCGGCCCCCGCGACGTGCGCGTAGATGGCCGTCGCCGGCGTCGGCCCGCCGATCTCCAGCAGGTAGCGGCCGTGGAAGGCGGCGAGGTCCGTGTAGCCGACCTCGGGGTTGCCGTCGTAGAACATGCCGAAGGTGCGCTGCGCGTAGGGCGCGTAGTTTGCGTTCGGGCAGGTCTCGCGCAGGAGCGTGTCGGAGCGCGCGGCGGCGGCGACGAGCAAGACAAGGCGCATGGTTTCTTGTTATTTAGGAGGGATCCATGCTCTGTGTAGCGAATCACCGTACCATTTGCGGCTGCCCGCTGCAACATCATCTGCTCCGTCACCTCATCATCCGCGACTTGCAAGATCTTGACCCGTCTCATCAATGAGCATTGGTCGAGCCCCGCGTGGAGGTGGTCGCGTCGCCGCGCGCCGTCGCCGACGCTTCATCATGCTCCGCGTCGCGCTGCAACGCGCTTGGCGCCCGACCGCCGGCGCCTTGGTCGCCGGCGCCGCGGCCGCCTGCGAGCGGAGGGACGACACAGCAGACGAGCGCTCGTGCAGTTCTGGTTCGACGGCGCCCAGGCGGGCTACGACAAGCGCTGGGGCGACCGCGACAGCGCGTGGTTCAAGCAATTCGAGTCGAGCGCCCGGTCCTGGGAGGCGGCCTACGAGGCGACGGCGTCATCGCCGGCTCCCATCGACGAGACGTCGGACGCGCTCTCGGCGCTCGAGGTCGTGCTGCGCCTCGACCAGATCCCGCGCACGCTCTACCCGAAGACGCCCCGGGCCTACGCGCGCGACGACCTCGCCGTCGGCGCCGCGCGCGACGCGGTGCGGCTCGGCAAGGACCTCGAGCTCGAGCCCGACCTCCGCGTCTGGATGTACATGCCGTTCCTCCACAGCGAGCGGCTCGACGACCAGGAGACGTGCGTGCGCAAGATGGACGAGGTCGCCCGGGCGCACCCGCCGGCGGCGCCTTTCCACGCGGCGGCCCTCGCGCACCACCGGGCCGTCGAGCGCTTCGGCCGACTCCCGGAGCGGAACCGGGTGCTGGGTCGCGATTCGACGAAGGAGGAGGAGGCGTGGCTCAAGGTCCACCCGACGGCCTGAGTCCTCGCCAAGTGTGATGCCCTGAAGCGCGCGCTCCAGCGCGCGCTCTGAGCGCTCTCGCGCTGAGCGTGAATCTGAGCGGCGATCGCACGAAACCTCCCCTCCCCCCGCGCGGCCCGGCGACGCCCGTTCCATGACTCGCCCCGGAAAAGCACTCGTGCACCGGAGCGACGATACACGCGTCCGCCATAGCCCGCGGCCTTAAAAAACTTGCCTTCCTTAGTAGTTCCGATGCGCGTCCCTCCCGGCCGCGCGCTTGCGCCGGTTCCGGTCGTCCGCGGGCCCGTCGTCGTCGTCGACGAGGATGGCGTCGCACTTGCCCCGGAGCCCCGCGACGCCGCGGGGCGTGCGGCCGAGGGAGTCCTTCGCGCCGCCGGACGCGCCGGCGTCGCGGAGCGCGGCCGCGGCGTCGCTCCGGCCCCAGGCGGACGCGAGGTGGAGCGCCGTGAGCCCGAGCTCGTCGGCGATGCGGACGTCGGCGCCGTGCTCGAGGAGCACGTGGACGACGCGCGTCGCGCCGGCCGCGGCCGCGTAGTGGAGCGGCGTCCGCGCGTGCGCCTGGGCAGGAAAAGAGAGATTCTACGTCGCTTCAACGTGAGTGTTCCGCGCGCGCGCGCGTTCCGGAAAAAGCATCCACGCTTCCAGACCGTTCCGAGAGATGATCGCTCGTCCCAAAATCAGCCAAAACGAGTGGAAAACGGCCGAGATCGGAGCCTTTGAAGTTGGGAATTTCGCTCTCTTTTGCTGCCCTGTCGGCCGCGTCCTCCGCGTCGACGTCCGCGCGCGCGGCCTGGAGCAGGCACCGCGCGCAGCGGCCGTGGTCCGCGTCGGCGTCCTTGACGCTGCCCGGCGGCGCCTTGTCCGCGCCGGAGAAGCGGCTTCGAGCGGCGTTGTCGGCGCCGCGCGCCGCGCGGTGCGCGTGCGCCTTGGCGCGCGCGGCCCCGAGCGCCACCAGGTGGAGCGCGGTGCGCCCGAGGCGCGGCGTGCGGTCGAAGGCGGAGACGGGGTCCCAGGGCGGCCGCGCCAGGGCGCCCGCGGGCGACCGCGCGCGGAGCGCGCCCTCGGCGCGAAGGGCCGCTTTCAGCCGCGCCAGACTCCCGCAGAGCGCGGCGTCCCAGACGTGGTCCAGGGCGTCGCGCTGCCCCTTGGACCGCGCGGCGTCGCGCGCGGCGTTGCCCTTGGCGTCGCGGGCCGCGGACAGCGGCGCCGCGAGCATGCGCTTGCCCAGGATTTCGTCGTCCCGGAGCACGTCGCGCGTGCCGAAGCGCGTCTCGCCGCGCGTCGTCGACGCGCCGAGCTCGTGGGCCGGCGCCACGACCATGGCGCCCCGCTGGCGGCTCCGGAAGGCGAGGGAGGACGCGTCGAGGCTCAGCGGCACGAAGCCGTCGAGCACGAAGGACCGGTCGAGGACCTCGCCGTTGCTCCGCGTCCGCGCGGCCTCCTCGTCCGGGATGCCGTAGGCCTCGAGATCCCGCGCCGCGCGGCCCGACGCCGTCACGTAGTCCCGGAAGTCGCCGTCGCCGCCGGAGCACCACGGGGATCCTCAG